GGCCGTGGAAACGCGCAGGCTCTGGCCCTTACCTGCGGCTGGCTCGATCGCGAGCGCCCGGCCGGGCCAGGCTCTGTAGACAGCGAGCCCGGTAACCCTCGTAGAGCTGATCATGCGTCACCTCTTTCAGGTCCTGCAAGTGCGTCTGCACCAGCATCCGTCGTAGGTTCAGGAAATCGCAGTGATGTGGGTTCTCCACTGGGGGGCAGGCCACCGAGTATCAGGGAGCTTTGGGTCCAGCCCCACCCAAAGGGTAATCTGACGGGAGTACTGGGAGTCCTGCGGCTCTAGCGGAGGGCCCTCTGCAGCCCTAGGTCCCCCCTTGGCTACTAGAACTCCCCATGATGAGAATCTACCCCAACTCTACATGTTGGGTGCAATTAACTCAGGGGGTGGCCTGGGCTCCCCACTGGCCTTAGGACACGTGCCTGGCCTTACTCACCCTCCACGGTACCCCAGGAGTAGCGGCGTCCCCTCACCGGTCGTGCCCCAACATCCCTCACCACCTCGCATGAACCCACGACTGCAAAAGGGATGCTTTCCTACAGGACAGGGTCAGGAGTCGCCTTAGGCGTCTCACAAGCAGAACATCCTCTTTCACTGTTCCACCTCCACATCCACCTGCCCCGCACCTCTGCCCCTTCCTGCTTTGCCTCTCACACCTTCATCTCAGCATCCTGCCTCTTGAAGTCTTCATCCTCATCAGAGTCACAATCTGGGAACTGGTAGATGTTGATCTCCTCTTCCTTCAGCTGCTCGCGGATCTTGATGGAAACAGATGCAGAAACACATGAGCCACAGACATTGCATGTCCAGAGACAGTGAGAGACAGATGTTGGGTGGTAAGAGACAGCCACAGCAGGCAGATGGTGGGTGATAAACATACTGGATGACCAGAAATGGAGTTGCAGAGATGTAGATGGTGAGAAAGGGGATGAGGTTCTAATGTGGTGGCAGATATCAGGGGACCAAGAGGGAGGCACATAACAGAAACAGTGGGAGGAGGCTCTGAGGACACTGGGTTGGGGGGATGTCATGGGGTCATCATATCCATGCCCCTGCCCTCAGACAGGCCTTAGGCAAGCATCTAGCCCAGAGGCTGTATACCCATCCTGTTCTGAACCTCCAGAGACAGACATGGGTACTTCTGGTAGTGTCCTACCCACCTTCCTCAAAAACTCGCCCACACGCTAGCCTGACCATCGTGCTCCAGGAAGGCCACCCCAAGATCAGAGAAGTCGAAGCTGAGTTCGGGTTTAGTCATAACTTTTGGCTCCATATGGGGCCAAAGCCAGAGGTCACCACCCACACCTTCTGCTTGAGGGCCTGGGTTTCCTTGGGCATCAGGGCATCTGCTTTTCCGATGACTGGGATGATGTTGACTTTCTCATGCACTGCCCGGAGGAAGGCCACATCTAGGGGCCGGAGCCTGCACCCAGGGATTTGTCAGGGTCCACCCCAGAGAGGCAGATACTCCCAGCCCCCCCCATGCCCTAACCCCCAGGGTGACCCCTCCAGACCCCCTGCCAAAGGGTGAGATGAAGTAGAGGCAGCAGTGGACGCGGGAATCCTGGATGTTCTTCCGGTTCAGGCCACTCTCGTCCCTCAGATATTGCTCGAATTGCTCCTCGATGAAGCGTACCACAGGCAACCAGCTGGTGAGGTGGAGGGAGAAGACCAGCGGTCAGAGATCAGAGGCCAAAGGGCAGGGGAGGGGGTGAGGCTAGCCAGGACTTGGGGAATGGGAAGTAGTGTCCATGGCTTCACCCAAAGACACCAAGGGAAACTGATGAGGTGTAGGTAAGATAAGGACACATGGGACACTTTGGGTCAGATGGTCCTCAGACACAGGCACTGCCTTTTGGGTCAGGGAGCTAGGTCAGACCAGCCCTGTAACTGATCCCTTGGTCTCCATGAGTAGCCACCGTGAGTGGTGTAGCCCTGGCCCTCTGCCCTCCTCACCAGTCCGAGCAGTCCACTGAGTCCCCAAAGCCAGGCGTGTCCACCAGGGTCAGCTTCACCTTAATACCCCCCTCCTCAATCTCCACGCCCCGGCGCTCGATGGTCAGCGTTTGTGTCAAGCGAGCTACAGGGGTGAGGAGAGAGCAGGGGCAGGGAACCTGAGGCAGGACTGATTCCCATCCTCTATCACCATTGTCCCCACTCTTTTTTCAGGGGAAGAAACAGTCTCAGAGAAAAACGGGGAGTTGCCTGAGTGCCCTGAGGGGAAGGAAGAGTGTACAGCCCTGGGATGGGGCCATGGCACTGCCTGAAGAGGGTGGGGAGGGTCTTACCACTGGCCTCTGGCACCTGCCGGTCCTCATAGAGGTTGGTGAGGAACAGACTGTTGATGAGCGTGGATTTCCCCAGGCCTGACTCCCCTGTGGGCAGGATGTGCCCAGCTGGTCAGGTGAGGGGACTCGAGGGTCTCTTAAGGACAACCCCATCCCCCTAGTTCCCTCTCCAAAGCCCCAGACCTGCCACCATGAGTGTGAAGTCAAACCCCTTCTTGACAGACTTGCGATGCAGCTGGTTGGGGAGGGCAGCAAAACCCACATACTCCTTGTCCTGTTGGTGGGGGGCAGGCAATATGAGGCTGTTGGGAGTGGCAGGCAGGGCCCCCAGTATCACCTAAGCTTGGGTGGTAGCAAAAGTCAGCCTGTTGTGGGTGGACCTGGGTCTAGGGACTGTGGGGGTAGGGGGCTGGGGAGCTGAGAGGCCTGGGTTCTCCAGGCAAAAGGACTCACCATGACTCCGCTAGCTGTCGCTGCACCTGCTATGGCTCCCCACTTCCTGTGGCAGGGCAGGAAGTTGAATACGGCAAACAAGGGGGCGGGCAGTGTAGGAAGCTGAGGTGCTCGAACTGGCCCAGGCCCAAAACGTTGGGGAAGGCTAAGACCCAGAATACCAATGGTTCCCACCTCCTGGATCTCTGTCCTTTACCCCTAAGGCAGCTTTAACTCCGATTTCCACACACCTTTATACCAAGCCTCAGTGGTAGCCCCATCCCCAGGGTGAGAGGTGGAGTATGGGCAGAAAGGAAGGAAGCAGGCTGCTCTTTAGCTGGTGAGACGGAGGCGTTGAACAGATGGTAATAAAGTTCCCAGGGTCTGAGTGGACAAAAGATATAATGAGACTGGTGGAAAAGGCCATTCATTTTCTACCTCATGCACTGGATTCTTTCAGGACTCCAAGTCTTTGGACACTACTTCTAGGAGGCCTTCCTTCATAATTTTGGCCAAGCAACTGCCCTGCTCAGAACACTTCAAGGATTCTCTAGAGACTTCAGTATCAAGTCTGAACTCAGGTTGAGCAACCAGAGCTGCCCTGGCTGGCCTCTTCCCATCTCTCACTCCCCTAAACCCCCTTGGCTCTTTCCTCAGATAGAGTTTTCCCCCTTTTCTGCACCGGTGAGCTCCGCTTCATCCTTCAAGGGCTTGATTCAAAGGGCCCTGCCCTCTCTAGAATTCTGGAATCACTCCCAGCGGAGGCACTCTCCCTCCTTTAAACTCACCAGCACGTTTCCTAGGCCCCACCAATGCTCACATTGGCTGTCTCTTCTGATTGAGCTGTCTGAGGGCATGGCCCAGGTCTTCCTAATTCCTGTGTCCCCAGTGTCTACAGGGCCTGGCAAAAAGAAGGTGACATTAAATAGAAAAATGAGCAAATGATAGGACCATCAGATGACGTAGTGGTTATGTTGCTGGAACCTCCACGTGGCCAACCACCATTAGAGTCCAGGACATGGTGGCTTAAAATTCACACCGTGTGTGTGTGTGTGTGTGTGTGTGTGTGTGTGTGTGTGTATGACCAAAATCCCAAGGGGAGACTGGAGGAGAAAGGATTGTGGCATGGCCATCCCTCATCCCTCTTGGGGAGGTGATTCTTCACTTTCTATCTATCTCTCCGACGAGTGCATGTGCCCTATAGCAAAAATTTCTCTATTAAAAAAATAAAAAAAAAAACCTCAACCAGCAGATGGCATAATGGTTACATCACTGAACTCCCATGTAGTTGATTGCAGTTCGAGTCCTGGACCCAGTGACTTAAACCTCACACTGGGTATGTGAGCATGCTTGCCCAAGAGGAGAATGGAGGAGAGGGGATTGCTGTGTAGCCATCCCCCGTGAGGGATGATTTCTCGCTTTCTGTCTCTCTGGCAAGTGCATGTACCCTATAGCAAAATCTCTCTTAAAAAAAAAAGGGGGGGGGGGACCCAGCA